CTATAATAATTACTCTTTTAACTCTCATTATTTCTCTATATTTGGTTACAAATTTTCATTTTCTCTTCAAGGTAAACCTCTATAATAATCTCTCAATTCTTCCTCTATATTCATGTATAATTTTGTGGTACACTTCTATGATAATCTCTCTATTAATCTCTCGATTTTTTCTCTCTATTCAGTTATAAATTTGTGGATGTTATTTGTATTTTTGTTTATTTGAGGTGTCATTCAATAAGACAAATCATAATATGAGTTTTTGTGTAGGCATATGGATTTCTTTTTGTGTAGATAAAGTGACATATGAATCATTGAAGAAACAATTTAACATTGTTTAAGCATAATATTTCTCTTAACCTCTCAATTCTTTCCATCTATTCAGTTTTTTTGGAGGTTATTCGCATTTTTGTTTATTTGGGTTTATATATTAAAGAAGAAACCATGAGTTGTTGAGATGACTTTTCCTAGAACTTAGAACCTTATTTCTCTTTTTTCTCTTTCATTCTTTTAATATCCACTACTATATTTTTTTTGTCAATTTATGTTTTTTTCTTAAATGTTTGCATTCAACTTCAAACCATTCATCTTCTTCTATATTAATTCAAATTACATAACTCCAAATCATTCATCTTCTTCTATATTAATTCAAATTACATAACTCCAAATCATTCATCTTCTTCTATATTAATTCAAATTACATAACTTCAAATCATTCATCTTTTCCAATCCATTATTTATTTATATATATAAAAACAACAACTTTTTGTTCATCTTCATCTCTCACATCCTCTCAAATTCTATCTCTATCTTATACATCTCTAAATTTATTTTCTTCATCTTTGGTTTTTCTTCTATTTTATTATTAATAATCTTCATAGTTTTTTTGTTATTTCTCTTCTCCTATAATTTTATGAATGTTTGTATCGTTATTTAGATTGCATTATAGTTTTTATGCATTATGTCATGAAGATTTGAAGAAGYCTTCAAGTTCAATATTTGATTTTTTGGTTGCAATACAAGGTAATAATTTTAAATTGATTTGTTTTATGATTTTGATTGCATTATAATTTTATTTATGTTTGTATCGTGATTTTGTTTGTATTATAACTCTTATGTATTAGGTGAAGATGTGATTTTGTTTGTATTATAACTCTTATGTATTAGGTGAAGATTTGAAGTGTTCATGTTTACTATGTAACTTTTACTTATGTTGAACCTTTTTTGATTTGCAGATTTTCRAGTTCTTCAACTTTTATATATTACGTCTTAAAATTTTGAAGTTTTCAAGTTTGGGTTGTGGGAATTTATGATTATGATCTAAGGTARGGATTTTATGCAAGTTTATTTTGTAATTTAGAGTGTATTAGAATGTTATGTATGTTTGTATCATGATTTCGATTGGATTATATTTTTAAGTATGTTCTTATCGTAAGTTTAGTCGTGTGATAATTTTATGTATGTTCGTGTTGTGATTTTGATTGCATTATAATTTTATTTATTGGGTTATAAATATTTGAAGTCTTTTTTGATTTTGTACATATCGTATGGTTGGTCCATTCACTATTGTGTTTTTAAAGTCAGGATGTGTGTTGAGGATGAAAAATGGTACATGTACATCATCCTTTTTTGTGCTTATACATTGTAAGCATCATTATACAAAACTAAGTTTTCCGTTATCAAAACTAAGACAATAATAATTTCTCTGTCTATAATGAATCCAATTTAAATTTCAGTTCTTCGGTTTTTGACCAACCATGATTAGCTATTGTTTACAACAATCGGTAAGCTTATAATATAACGAATGTTATTGCTTATATACCTTACATTGTATGATTCCTCAAGATTAGAGGATATTATATTTCATTCAACAATTAATAAAATACTCTTATTTTATTTTATATTATTTAACTGTATTATAAATTTAGTTATATCATTTCTTATATTGTGATTACACATCTAATTATTCGGATGACTATATGTACATGAATTTATTTAAAAAAAATCTGGAAAATAAATGTTACAATCTAAATTGAAAAGATTACTTTTGCATACACCTACGATAGTGCTCAATGGTAATCATACAATACTTGCGGGTTGCGGCTAACAATTTTTATACAAATTGAACTTCAATAGAATTATTGTTCTGCAACCAAAAAAATATAAAATGTATGAATTCCTTTAGTTACAAGAAACAATATCAATGAAAAAAAATTGCATCAAAAATACCCCAATGTAATCACCATCTTATAATACAATTGATTATKAAATTACGTTTCACCTTAATTTGATTACGTATTTTCTAACAAAACAAGTTTCATCATTATGCAACACG